CTTTTCTTTGTTGAAGAGGGTCTGTGCAGTCCTTCTGCCTAGTCCGCCATCTTGCCGGAACTCCCTGGACTGTATTTTTAAGCACTGTCATACCCTGCCTCTACCCTTTCCTGCCCCACCCCCAAGTATCCAAAATATTAGAATAATTGATTTTAAAGAGCCACTTGAGTCCCATGGACTTTTTTAGTCATCATTCCACTTTCAATGATTTGCGGACTGAATTTGTCCAGGAGTTTGTTTTTCTTATATAATCCCTTCTGCACATTGTGTGGTTTTAAAGCTTTTCTGGTTCGTAGGTCTTCCAAAGTTAAGGTAGACTGCTTTTCATTTCAAGAGTGGGGTCAGAATTACCTGGTCTTAGTCCATTAGTGGAGCTTTGGTGGCATAATGGTCACAGCATTTGGCTGATAACCAGAAGCTTGGCAGTTTGAAGCCACCACTCCATGGGAGAAAGATGAGGCAGTCTGCTTCTATAAAGATTTACAGCCTTAGAAGCCCTGTGGGGTAGTTTTGCCCTCAGTGTGCTAAATGGTTACTATGAGTCGGAATCAACTCAATGGCAGTGAGTTTAGTTTTTGTTTTTAGTCCATAAATGGAAGTGTCCGTAATCTTGCGTTTTCTTTGCTAAACCACGTACAGAGTGCCAGGCATTGTGCTACGGGCTGGACATAATTTTTTCCTAATCTTCCTAAGAACCCTGCAAACTTGGCCTTATCACCAGTTTGCAGAGAACAGTGAGTTTCGGGTGTGGTTTCGTGAGGTGCCCACAAACGCTTTCACACAGCTCTTTGGGGCCTATCTGGGATTTCCACCCAGGTTGCCTGGCTTCAGAACTCGTACCCGCCCCACCACATCATACCGCCTGTGCCTTCGGAGTTCTTTTCAGCTGTGACCAAGCATGTCCAAATATGCTTTGTTTGAATGATTTAAACTCCTGTAGCTAGACAGATTCCTTCCACTCCTTGTTTTCCTGGACCCTCAGATCCTTAGGGAAGGGGAGTTAGAGACAATTTTGACAGGCAGGTATATTCATCCTCCCTGGAAGGATGCATTAGCCCCTCACCCTTCTCAGAGGATTTGGTCTCCATGGAGAAGACAGTTCCATAGGTAGAGAGCATGACAATAGTAGACAGCTTGCAAAGGTACTCAGACTCCAAAAACCAAACTCATTGCCATCGAGTTGATTCCAACTCATAGGTCCACCCATTGGGTTTCCAAGGCTGTAAATCTTCACAGAAGCAGAATGCCTCGTCTTTCTTCCATAGGGTGGCTGGAAGGTTTGAACCACCAACATCTTGGTTAGTAGCCAAATGCCTTAACCACTATACCACCAGGGTGCCTCCCAAATTGTACTGGGACATCCTACTGTAGATGGAGACTCTAGTCCTCTGCCCCTTACCTCCCCCCTGATTCTTTTTAGGTTGGCAGGAAGAAAACTTGTTTCTTGACCAGCAGTCACATTATGGGATGTCAGAGTTACATCCTCACACTCTGTGGAAGCTGATATAGTCCCATTCACATCAGGAATTGTGGACATGGTGTCATGATTGAGAACCTGATTCCACCTCATCACGCAGCTCAGAATTGAACCTGTGTGAAATAAGGAGCTGTGAGGTGGCCTGAAGCTTCATCTGAGTGGAGTTGAACTTCTTCGTGTTAATCTGTGCACCTCCACTTTCAATAACAAGGATCGTCAGCACAGCTGCCCGGAATTGGCTCTGTAGGGGATGCGCACAGTCTGGATAGATGGGAAGCTAGGCGGCTTGGGGACGTGAGTTATAGACATGCTGGTTAGTAAAAGAAAAAAAAAATCAGCAGGTCAGTCTGTATCCTTTAAAAATTTACAAATGGAACAGGTGCTAGCACTGATCATTACATGGCAGGGCTGTGCAGATGGCTGCTCTGGTCTTAACTGCTTAACCCTCACAGGAATCTGATAGCAAGGTGTCACCATCCCCATTGTACAGCTGCAGAAGCTGAGACTCATCAAGATGATAACCTGGCTCCAGGTCACATTGCTGATACCTGCAGAGCTGCATTCAGAGCAAGGGCTGTCTGGTCCACAGCCTGGGTCCCCCACAATACCTTTGATTTGGAAGGAGGAGGAAGGTAGCAGGAGACTGAGTTCAGGCTGGTTTGAAAATGGGGAAGGGAGGTCATGTGTAGGATGTGGGGCATGGTCATAACCAACGCCCCACATTGCCATCTGGCTTCAGGTTAATTCCGCTCTGTGTGTTTTAAAGACACACACTCTTCCTGCCATAGCTGGGTTCAGTACAGCAGTTCCTTAATTCAGGTGGCTTTCTAGATCCAGCGTTAACTCCTGTGAAGCCAAGAACAAGAGTCAGATGGAGGCACATATGCTGTATGTAGGATGTTGTTGTTAGGTGCTGTGGAGTCAATTCCAACTCATGCAGACACTAGAGGACAGAGTAGAAATGCCCCATATGGTTTCCTAGGCTGTAATCTTTCTGGGATAGGTCTCCAGGTCTTTTCTCCCATGGAGCTGCTGGGTGGGTTCGAACCATTAGCCTTTTGGTTAACAGCCTGGTACTTAACCACTGTGCCACCAGGGTGCCTTATAGGTGGTATAAAACTAGAAAAAACAAACTCACTGCCATTCAGTCATTTCTAACTCATAGTGAGCCCCATTGGGTTTCCAAGGTTGTAAATGTTTACAGAAGTAGGTTGCCCCATCTCCCTTCTGTGGGGTGGCTGGTGGGTTTGAACCGCTGACCTTCCAGTTAGCAGTCAAGTGCCTTATCCACTATACCACCAGGGCTCCTTGGTATACCAAAACCAAACTCATGCCGTCAAGTTGGATCCGACTCAGTGACCCTCCCTTGGGTTTCCGAGGTGGTATCACTGTAGAAGTAGATTGCCCCATCTTCCTTCTGAGGAGTGGCTGGTGGGTTTTAACTGTCAGCCTTCTGGTTAGCAGGCAAATGCTTTAGGCACTATGCTACCAGAGCTCCCTCTGGTTAGGGTTGTTGTTGTTGTTGTTGTTATCTGCCGTCGAGTCGGCCCCGACTCATAGCAACCCCTCCTTGGGCTTCCGAGGCAGTTATCACTATGGAAGTAGGATTGCCCAACCTTCCTTCCGAGGAGTGGCTGGTGGGTTTGAACCGCCAGCCGTCTGGTTCGCAGGCAAGTGTCTTAGCCACTATGCTACCAGAGCTCGTTAAATATGTTCTGCCCTCCTGTGTTGACAAATATACCTTCATTACAACCTAGAAAGGCTGACTCTGGCTCTTCAGCATTCCTGTAGATGTGGGTTGGCCCAGGAGAGTGGCTTCCGGCTTGCAAGCTCCCCGGCTTCTCATCTCATCACCAGCACTGCCCCACGTTATAAACAGTCTTGTGTGCACATATATGCCAACACTCCAGTCCACATGTCCCAGCTCCATTCTTGCCCCTGCCAACAGCTGCCCTTGGCTATTCTTCAGGTCAGGAATTGCTTACACTGGTGGCAGGAGCACACAGGGAAGAGACCTGTGCTGACTCTGGAAGGGGATTGGGAGGCCCCCAGCCAGGGAACTCTGGGGTTCTGGGCACTGAGAGCCTAGTCTGGAAGGGAGAGTGTAGACACTAGGTGGGCATGACACCAGTGCCATGCTGACTTCATCCTTGTGGGTGGGTACAGCAGAAGGGGGGCCAGAGATTGCATGTCAAGGCCAAGCACCAAGAGCTGCTGCTTTCAGGAGAAGCTTGTGGGTGGGAGTGAGACCTTTCCAATGACCTAAAACAGGTCTGTCCCCATTTCCATTCCTCACACCAGGGGTTCTTCATTTTTTCTGCTGGCTTCTTACCTGTGCTACAGTCAGGAACTTTTAGAACTTTTATAACATGCAGGGAGCATATCAGAATCTGTGGTTGAGGCAGGGAAAAGAGGTGCAAGTAGTCCTACAGAGCCTCCCTGAAGATTCAGAAAAAGCCACCTTACCCCAGGAGGCAAGATGCCACCCCATCCCCTTGGAAAGGCCCCACCTTAGGCAGCTCCACCCACCTGTAGGGAAAGACGGGTGAGTCACCTCTGGCACAGATAGCATTTCTCTGAATTTTAAATCCAGGAATTAGGTGCCAAAGACCTCTTTAAAAGAAATTGCTTCCCCCAGATTTCACACTGTTCTTTGATTTTGTCGCAGTGTTGTCCGGTGGCTCGAGGATGCAGCAGCAGTGCAGGTGCCAGTTGGGGGGAACGGCAGCGGCAGCAACCACAGAAACAGCCCAACGGGTCAAAAGCACAAAACCTCAAGTTCAACCAGAGAAGAGGTATGAGTCTAATTTTAGGCACAAAGTTTTCTTCTCTTTATTGATGTGAACACCAGTGGATGCAAGCTACCCAAGAGGAAAGGGGCTGGGAAAACTTTATACACAGGAATGTTGTTATCTCTTGGCTTCCTTTCAACAGCTGTTAAACTGCACATTTTCTCCCCCACACCCCCCACCAGGCTTTTGTTAAAGGACACATAGCTGAGTGCAGTCTGTAAGTCATGCAGGAATTTGGTTCTTGAACATGTCACGTTACACAAGTTATCTTATTTATGAGTGTAACATACTTAAACCTATGAACTGTGTGTTGTGTTTGGGATAAAGTGAAAGTTTGTGAAGTCAATGCCATCTTTGATTTTCATCTGTTAACACAGCGAGCATGATTATAAATGGCATAATAAACCCCAAGCCAAACCCTTGCCATTGAGTCCATTCTACCTCCTAGCAACACTGTAGGACAGAACTGCCCCCGGGGCTTCCCAGGCTGTAATCTTTGTGGAAGCAGACTGCTTCATCTTTTTTTTTTTT